CCAGACAGGAAGTCCCGTAAAACCTTGTGAGACTAAACGCGAGTTCAGAGTAAAACGTGGCCAACAATTTAAAACCAATGCCGATACTTTGTGGAGTATTTCAAGCAATAAAAAGCATAAGAAAGGATAAAGGAGTAGAGAAAGTGCAAACTGGAGCTCTACTTGCTACACTAAGATGTTTTTTTTTTCTTTTTTTTTTCTTGGTAGCGCCAAAAACTGCAACTCCGTATTAGGGCTATGCTAAGGCAAAATACAAATAAAATAAAATAAAATTAGGAGAATAGAGTCATTATGAGATTACAGACGCAGACATTTGTTGATATTAGTGAATAAGAATTTGGAAGGACGTCTTAAGGGTTTAAAATATAGAATTAAAGAGGAATTTTCTACAACCTTTCACATTGTCTTTGTTTAAGTCACAAAACTGAGAGGATATCACAGGAATACATAAGAACGCCAACTATCTGCTACTTTAAAATGTTCACAATGGCCATTTCCCAACAGTTACACAACAGTCAGAAACAGTCAGGAGTCTTGTTTTTAGGTTTCCCCCTTTTGGCCCGATAACAGATGTGATCTGTTGACACCGACTTACAGCGGTAAACAAGCGCTTCCCGTCAATGTCCTTTAATGGTTTGTCAATTCATTTGTTTTCCTGTTGCATGACTAATTTGCAGCCCTCCTAACCGGTAGACAGAGATTGATGCTTAGAGGCCAACCTCCATTACAGCTTAGATAGGCGAGGCTGGCGGAGTGTTATTCTGCCTGTTCCCAGGGTGTCGAGAGGCGCTTGAATAACTGCAGAATAAATGAAAGCGAGACATCCGATACGACAGAGGGAAACTCCAATCATACAGACCTACAGCGTTGGAAAACAGAACCTGAGTATTCTTGTCCTGCAATCAGCCGTGAATAATGCTGGAAATGAAAATATAGAAGGAAGGAGACAGGTGAGAGTGAGCACAGTTGGAGATACAATACGAGACGGAGAGAAGTGGAAAGTCAAAGCATCCTTGAGTACTTGTTGAAAAGCTGGGTCCATTAACAGAAAGTGTGAGCTAGACTGAAACACATTCCCTGACTTTAGCAGCTGTGGTTGTTAGTTCTTACAGTGCCAGACAAAAAAGTGTATTGCCCTTCTCAAAGTTCTTACTTTTTTACATTATAAACACAAACTTTAAGGTATTTTATTGGGTGAGATTTTATGGAAAGTAATACATCAATACAATTTAGTGCAAATGATTTTGAAAGATCTTTACAATTAAATAAATAAAATATTGAAATCGCTTCAAGAACATTTTCAAGTTTGCGTAGATCACAGAGGTAACTGAATCAACCAATAAAGAAAATTCCCCTCTGAGAATCATCTCTGACCTGGACAAACCACAAAATGCATCTCGCAATCCAAGATTGCAGGCAGAACTTGGATCTGCCTGCTGGCTGATCTTCTATCTGCGGATCGTTCTGCTGTCTGGTGAGCAGCCGACACAGCTGGCCTTATGATGTAGAAGAAAAACAAGACTCACCAGACAAAGCCTCGTCGCTCTGTGGTTGGGATTTGACACACAAGACCTTTGTTAGTGGCATAAATAATGGAAAAGAGTCAGCGTAGGTGCTTTGAGTCATCACCAGCTCTGATGTTCAGCATCTTATTCAGACATCATTCACAACGCAAAGACGCAGAAACAAATAGATTGTGTTGTTGGGCTGACAGCCTCCACAGGTTTAGTTCCAATAGGTCTTGATGCTTCCAATTTTTTCTGAAATCTTTCTCTTTTTTTGTGAGTTCGTTCATACTGTTGAACATTGCGAGTGCAATCAGACTTCTGTGTGAACGATTTGCCATCCGCATGTGCAGAAGAAGAACTTTAATGTCACACATGAGCCCACCATTTACAGAACTAATAGTGGATGGAGCCACCTACAGATTGATTTTAGCTAATATAATCAGCCATGGGAGTCGACAGTATTGTCACAACACCATAACATCGAGTCGGGCTGCTCAGACTGCTGTGAAAAAAAAGTAGCTTTTTTTCTATATGGCCATAAAAATGGATTTGGGTCACATGCCTGCTATGTGAACATAGTCTTAGAAGCAGGATTCCTTGGACACTCAGGGTGTTTTGATATCTGATCGTCCAGTAGACTGTTCGACTGGAGACCAAAACCGGAACATTTATTACATTTCAGCTGGTTCGGTTTGCTTTCACGCTTAACTGTGTCAAACAAACCAAACCCTTTGAAATCCAGTGGTGGCGGCGCAGCAAGAACCACTGAAGGAAACGACACAAAAACCTCTGAGGAAGACATAAACGCAACTTCCTTCTTCATAAAATGTAAACAAAAACTGAGTGACATCAGATTTTCACGGTTGTAGGATTTCTCTTTTGACTGTTAAAAGACCACAAGACATTTCTCCATCAAGCACTAGACACACTTTTGTTCAGGTTGTATTTACCCAGAACTCCCTGTGTTATAGTCCACTTCCTGCTTTTGGAGTGGTCCTCGGTCCAGTTGGTGTTCACACATACAATCAAACCGTGACAAAGATCACTTCAACTGAAACGAGACAGAGGTGTGTAGGTGGACCAGTTTGTTTGCAACTCCGCAAACCAATCAGAATTTCATTCGGTTTAAGCGGACTAAGGAGGGCTGGAGGGAACGCACCCTCAAAGAGACACATGCGCTTCCTGCTGTCAGTGCTCACACTTTTTATCTGGAAACAGATGTTAAACACAGCTGCACACAGAAGACCAAATGACAGAAAAATAACATTTTTATCTCTTTTTTCTTTCTGTAATGAACAAACATTTTATCTTTCCTCAATTTTCACTAAAATCTGACATTTAAACGATTTGTAGATCACCGCCTTTTGTCCCGCTGCTCGAATGCAGCATCCCCAATTCCATTTTGTAAGGGATGACAAAATCAATTGCAACTAAATGAGTTTAATACAAGTGATTATCTGGCTTTGAAAAGGCACGCTGCTGGGAGAGACAAACAGGATGGATCTGGGCATTAAGCCTAGAGGCAAACAACCAACTGTGGGCTCAATCAGACTCGACTGTTCGGACTTGACGACAAACAGCTGCCAGAATTTGGTGAATGTTTTTTTTTATTATGCAACCTAATGTGAGCGCAGATGTTTGTAATGGTAAAATGGTGGCATTTCAGAAAAAAAGCTTATGTAAATTTCTCTAGGTTAATCGTTTATTTTATTACCTGTGACATTGTCAATACGCTGGAGTTTAGTAGAAGTAACCATAATAAGCGCCAACATTTATGCAGCCGTCTGTTACTTTTTACCTTTTAGAATTATTTGACATTACCTGGTAAAATATGGTTTGTGTTGACATTTCAGAGCATCATTTTAATACTTGTCAGAAAGTGCTACATCATCTCACAAAAGCACACAGTCAAAAAGATCTGCAGGGATGGATACTTTTTATAGGTACTGTGAATCAGTGGCGCTCAGCTGCGTTTCCATTGACCAAATAAATGCTCAATTTGACATTTTAAAAATAAATCTGCTTAATGAAAGCATGCCAGTTTAGAAAAAAAAACTTGAAGATTTTGGCGTCAGGATGAGGTGTAACTGTAAAGGAGACGGAGGCCAATTTCAAAGTGTCAAACTGCAAACACAAGTTTCTTTTAAGTTACATTTTTCTAACAACTCAAGGTAACAGCTGCTTGATTGTGATATAAAATGCTTGTAACACACATAAATACTCCTCTCTCCCACCTAAAGAGCTACATCAATTATAGTAATTCAACATTTTCTAAAAGCTATTTATTAAAAGAGTCAGCTGTGACTTTTTTTTGGTCAACTGAAGTGGTTTCATTATCGAGTCAGAATCCTTGCTGGGTTTTCACCCACTGACTTTACTAATTGTAAAGTCAGTGGGTGAACTGTACCCAGCTACAGTTGAACAGAAATGCATTTATCAAATTTCCAAAGCACTTTTACATATTCAATTTGTATCCTAGTCGTATACACTCGTAGCATGTCATAAATTATGTGTAATAGGTTGAACGTCAGGAGCTTCTTTTGTGGGGAATGGACAGATTTAAACTGATAACTTTGGCGTTTTGAAAGCTCTGTTGTCTCTCTTCAGGATGTAAGATCTAAAATGTAAGAGAGACTCCAGCCACGTCCAGCAGGACATCTGCTGCTGACAGAACTATTACCGTCGTATTCTCCAACTTAAATAGGGAGGAAAAAAAAAAAGTGTCTCCGTTCCTTTGATGTCGGCTTCCCCCGTCCTCACAACCAGAAGGAACCTGCTGGAGAAAAACACAAACAGCCTGAAGGTGAACTGGAAGCTTTGAAGAGGTGCATGCTGGCTCCAGTGAAGCTTCCGGTCCTAAAACAAAAACAACATAAACTTTCAACGCGGCTCTACAGTGTCTCATTAATACAGAAATTAAACAAAGACAGCTTTGATCTTTCTCAGCCGGTTTGGATAACGTGGTATTTTAACTTACCGAAGACGTCAATGATCTCCTCGGCAGGAGACATCAAATATTTGTGCTTGTGTGACATTGACGTCGTCTGTACAATGCTGTGAAAATAAGTTACTCCTCCCATACAAAGTTAATCTGTTTTAGCTTTTTGTTCCACATCAAAGTCATTTTAAAATTATTATTCTGCCAGAGGTATGAATAATTTTGACCTTAACCTGTAGTAAACATTGTGCCTATATGAATGCTGTGTCTGTGTATAAGTGCAGTAAAATTTAAATTTGGATGATTTCCACGGCTAGTTTCTGGTTCCATTTGAGTTGAAAGTGGTTCAATTTAAAAGTCAAGAAAAAAAAAAACAACAACCATGAGATCAATTTGAAATAGCTGCGCTTTTTAAATTGCTCTCCATTCAGCGTTCACGTCCTGTAAAGGAGGGTCTGGGCTCTGTGAAACATAAAAGAGAGCAAAGAAATCAATATAAACCCCTTCAAGCGTACCGACCTTCTTCCTCCAAACAATCAAAAACCACCAAGGTCTGATGTGTGTGCTTAAAAATCCAAGCTCAGTTTAATGATTTCTTTTTATATATATATTTATATATTATTCCTACAAATACATGGTTTTCAGCACTTTGAAAAACACTCACTTTCCTCGGTAAGCCAAGGAGGCTAGAAATATCCTACAGTGAAAAAGAAAGACAAAACATAATTGACAAAAAAAAACAACAAAGATGTGAAAACATAAAAAAACAAAAAACAAAACAACATCCTGTACAAACACGATGGCCCAATAATTTAAGAAAATAGTGTCTCTAAAACGTTCATATTGCTTTGTATCTCCACCGACCAGATCCACCTTGTGCAACACCAGGCCGTTCTGACAGCGGCCACAAGGGGTGGGGGGTTGCCAAATCCCAGATGCTGATGTTGCTCCAGAGGTTCAGGGGTCAAGCTGCAAGGTGTCGCAGAAGAGAAACAGTCTCGTTTTGTCGTCTCAGGTGGTCACTCGTTCTCTGGCTGTTTTGGCAGTAACAATACAAAGACGAGGGATGGTCACACTACCACAGTACTGCACTCCTCATGAAGGATGGTTTCACTGTTTGTTGTAGTTTTACCATTATTACTTTCTACAGCATTATTACTAGAGCTATCACCATCACAGATACACAGAGTGCATCATGTGTTTGTGTGTATGTATGTGTGTATGCAGAGGGTTCATCCGTGTGTGTGTGCACGTTTATATGCTCTTGTGTGTGATGGGAGAGTTGATGTTCAGTGCTCGGAGCTTGTCTTCTCGAAGGAGAAGCTGGGAAGAGTCAATAGCTTGGAGCTGGGATTGGGATTCGGCGAGCCTCCGTCTTGCCCCGAACCCTCTCCGACTCCCAGGTCGAATGAGTCCTTGGAGTCGCTAGAGGGGGCTCTCCTCCTCAGACATGTGTCCCTGCTGGGCAGAGGAGGGGGCATTCCTAATCCTGCCAACCCCATGCCACTGAGGCTGGGGTAGAGGCCAGACTGGGGTTCGAGTTCATCGGGTGGGTCGACGGATATACAGGGTGGGCTCATCTTCTTCTTGCGCCGGGGGGACGGCAGTGGGGCCTGGGTGGGAATCTGCAGGCTGTCGGACCGGGACACAAACCCTGAAGATGTGGAGGCGGCGCTGTGCTGTGGGCAAGGGTCCTCCGCAGGGTACACTTCTACGGAGTGGCGCCGCGGGTCGTCCAGCCAGGAGTAAGGGCGCGGGCGGGGCAGGAGGGTGCTACGCCCCTGCGTGTCGACGCTGTGGAACCTCTTGAGCTGCCTCGTGCAGGGACTCCGACTCTCCTGGCACACCGTGTCCTCCACAGCGACGCTGTCGCTTCCCACCAGCCCTCCACAGGTGATTAGAGAAACTTCACGATCCTCCGACGCCGCCTCCACCTCCTCTTGGTTCTGCTGTTGGGGCCTGGCAGGTAAGGGAGGAGGAAGCGGGTGGGAGGATAGTAACGCAGATGAAGAGTAGGAGGCAAGGCAGTGCTGGTCATGTTGCTGGGTGTGCACGCTGCTGGGTTTAGGGGAGGCACCCGGTGTGGCAGGCACCAGGCAGAGAGCTGGGTGTAGATGGGGATGATGATGCTGATGGGAGGGAGAGGCGGATGGAGGTAGCCCCAAAGCTGCCACGTTCAGAAGTCCTTCACTGCTCTCCTGTTCATCTGAACAGAGGGCCTCCTGAGAATCAGTGGACACTGCGACCTGGAAAACGGGGCACGGAAGGGAGGGGGAGTGGAGTATTCAAGAAAAAAATGGGGGTAAATGTCCAATGGAGGGGTTGGGGAGAGGTGGGGAAGGAGGAGATCAAGGGTGAGAGGGAGGGGGGAGGAGAGCAGTTAGTGTGAGGTGATGAGGATGAGAAGCAGCAGTCTGGGTCAAAGCTCACCGTCTGGCCAGCGTGTTCTCACACAACTCCCTATGCAATTCATTTGCAACATCCTGCCGTGAATCATAACCCGAAAGCCCAGAGGCTCTGCTCTGTGTTGCTCTGTTTCATTAGTCCAGATTGTCAGAAGTACACTGGGTAAACAACGTCTGACAGAAGTGGATGCCTTCGGCGAGCTCGGTCTGTTGAGTCTGTGTAAGATGTTTGAGCTCGACCTGGTCAGATTCTGACGTGTTTACATTGCAGAGAGTTCCCCAGAGGTCTCCTGAGATACTAGGCAGAGATGTCTGTCTTACCAGCCAAACTCTGCTGATTGTTAGGGGCCAAACATGGAGCTAAAACTTTATTTTTGTGAATGTCAAATGAAACTTCAGACTACTGTGAAATCTTTCTCAGCCTCTGCTCATTTGCAGCAGATAGGGTTAATAAGGACTCTGCATCGTTGAACCAAACTGTTGAAATTGGTTCTTATTGTTGCAGTTGTGTGATGAAAATCATTTTGTTCTCAGCCCCTTTTCATCACAACACGCTTGGCGAACTTTTCGCTCCCCTCTCAATGCAAAACTATTATGTAACTGATCAGAATTTTATTACCAAATTTGTTTATGTGGAAAACGTCCCCGATTACTTAACCTCAAGAAGCTTGTTTTTCAGCCACAGAGTAGAAAGTATAGCTTTGAGGGATAATTGTCCAAAGGTGTGAGGAAGTACGTACTGTTGGACTAACATTAAACTCTCCCTGCTCAGTTCTGGTCTGATGGAGCGACGGAACGTCCCACCGACGCCTTCCATACTTTTTGTCTCTGATTACATTGAAAATGAAATGATTTGAGAGAGATGTTGCATCTTGTCCATCATTACTTCCTCCTCCTCCTCCGAATTTTGATCTTGTAATGGTCGATCCTCTCTGCTATGATTGCTGTGTTTACTGTATTGTTGTTAACCACAAATGTGTCAAAACACCATGATGTGTTCTGCAGTGGGAGGGGTTTCACTTTGGTGTGTTGTGGACCTTGAATGCCTCAAAAACACGTGACCACGCATTAACAGTTCAACTTTGTTCCCACCATGCTGGTTCCTTTAGATAATCTCTTCTCATATATATTCAATCTAAAGTGTAACTGGAACGTTCTCAGTAATGTGTGTGTTTCCTGCTGGCAGAGACACTGAGCACTGAGCCAGACCAAATGACCCTCCACAACCTTTGCCCATCGACACAAAACCCTGTAAACTGTGAGTTGTTGGAGTCAATAAAGTGGGATCTGTTTTTCCCCCACTGTCACCTCTGTATAGAGCCACACACACACAGGGTCTGAGGCCAATAGACAGAGGGTAAACATGACATGTAAACCTCTGCAGTGACAGCTCCTGAACCCCGACAGATCTCAGGTCAGCGATGAGTCGTGTTCATCACCATGGCAATGATGAGTGAGCGGAGGGGAGAAGGCATGCATGTCATTTCAGGGCTGAGCATTTAAAGAAGCCTTTCCTGCATGAGCCTTGACCAGTGAGACCACAGAGACACCTAGTGGTCAGAGAATCGTGTTACAGCCACAACAATGCAACACCTAGTCACAAATTACAGAAGTGCACCGTGGGACTATGCTACCTTAATCACCCTGTAACTTGGATCTTATTTTTTTGTACTGTTAAAGCACTAATCTTGGGATTTAAAAAAAATTCTCTGGTGCTCTACTGTAATGGAGTATAAAATGGCCAAATGCATATGGACAGCTCTTGCTGTTTTAGTAGAATCCCCTGAGTTGTATTATCTAAAATATAAAAAGTGCACTGCATTATGGGTGAATTTCCCTTGTAGCCACATTACACCTGTGCCTTAATACATTCAATCACTTCACTTGATATCCGGTAAATAAATGTGACTTTGCTCATTTCCAACAGGTGTTTGCTTAGAGTTATAGATGCTCTGTGGTTTGATGACAAGTTAAAAAACAATATCTGGGTGAATGAAAGATGAGGAGAGGGTAAAAAAACAAACAAAATGGGGGTGAGTCTACACGTGTGCGTCCGTAACGTCCCGTGTTTCTGAAAAGGCCTCGAGGGGAAACGATGTCGGCTCGTCTGTCGCCTTTTCAGAAACAGGAGTATCTGTGTTTGAGCAGTAGCTCAGGGTCGGGCGGTTTGTGGGCCCAGCTGAGCTGAGATCAAAAGTGAACAGATACAATCGATGGGGGAGAGCGGGTCGGTTTTAAAATAACAGGAAAATCATGAGGAGCGGCAAAGAAAAGAAAGAGGGAAGACAGTGGAATAGTTCAGAATGTGCAAGAAGAGAGTTAAATTCTATGGTGGATATTTAGTGCCACTTTAAGGGAAGGAATTGTGAGAAGAATAAAGTTTCAAACGTGAACATGAAGGTAAGATTTGTAAACGTAACCTGTTATTTAAGGCCTCGTCAGGATGTGGAACTCAGAAACTCACATAGATGTTTTATTACTTTAGAGAGAAAGTGAGAAACCGCAGCACTGTGCAATAACTCAGAGCAGTAAATAAGTCCTTTACATCCTTTGTGATAAAACAACCTACAACTGGCACATCTTGAAGTAAAGCCAGAGAGTACAAGTGTTGGAATCAGGATTCAACTACTGATGATCATTGGTCACCAAGAGCAGAGGATATCTGCATTTACTGTACTAGAAATGTTTTAAAAGAGTTTTGATTTTGGGTTTGAATGACTTAATGTATTTATATTGTGTCTAGATATGTCCCAATGTTCAGATATGTCAACCATTTTAGCCTAAAACTGTACGGGGTCTTAGTGGCTTTGCTCTACCTTTTGCTCTGATGAGCCAACATTAAATACATGAAGCGTCCAGGACTTCCTTGGATTTGTCCCTAAATTCAATAATTCAGCTCACATACGTCATATTTTAAGCTAGCATGGACTCCATCGTCGTTACCCACTTCAGAAGTGAAACTGTTTAAAACTTATCATTTGCTGTCTCATTAATTTGGCTATTAATTATTTAACCTCTTGGACCAAGATTGATTTTGTAATATAGGTCTCAAAAGGAGTCTGACATAAAATAGTAATTTAGCACCACCAAGGGCTTTTACCTGTAAACGTGCCACAGAAAAATGTAGAAAAGACCTCCAGAAAGCCTGAAGAATACTTCAAAATGGTTCAAGTTACAAAGTTAAAACATTTTTGGCATGGTTTGGAACAATTGCACAGTGCTGCAGGTCTTCAAGCAATGACAGTTTTTTTTTTTAAATTTTAAATAGATTCCCAAGTGGGAAGCAATAGGTTCACTCAAAAAGAATGATCAGAAGAAAACATTTGTAAAGCCTAATGACTTTACGCTAACAGTTTGTTTCTCAATAAATAACTATACTTGTTGAGGTATAAATATAATTTATTTATTTATACAACTATATTTATAAATATAGTTATATAAATAACTATATTTATTGAGAAAACTGGAGATACAGCAGTCAGGAAGGTTTTAAAAAGTTCCATCCTACTGATCTTGATTTTAGCCAATACATAAAACGATTTTCTCAAAAGCAGCCCAAAGTTGTAACTTTGCTGCTGATGATCAACAATAAGGTCCAGTAAAGAGTAAAATGGGCTAACACCATTTCTAGTAAAAACAATCTCTTTATGAATTGGCTTTAGAGCGGGGTTGCATAGTCACCTGTCGGCGGAGCGTGCGGCTAAGTGCATGTGTGTGTCTTGACGGCGGTTGTCGAGGAATACTCTCGGAGTCTGAGTGGCTGTGGGGGCTGATGGGTCTGAAGAAGTCAGTGGGGACCGTCAGCTGCTGGGAGCACTCCTCTGGCTGCGAGCGCACCGAGCCTCTGGAGCCTGGACACACAGCGCCGGCAGGTAAGCAACAATCAGCAAAGTAATTACTGCACCGCAGATGCGTTTACCTCACAGGAAATGACTTGCGACTCTCCAAGGAAACGTCAGGTTGCGTTAAGCTTAATGACAAGAAGACATTTCCCAATGAGAAGGTAACACCCTTACCTGATTGGGCCCTGTGAGTGCCCACTAGGTGCTGGGGCCCCTGTGACTGTGCTACAAGCTGCGCTGGGGACGGAGACGAGGAACCAAAGGGGCGAAGGGGGAAGAACATGTAGCTGTCGGGCAGGGAGTGAGTCCGTCCCACCGCAGGCTTTCTGACACTCAGCAGGTTGTCCTTCGGTGCCTCCAGCTGTACACACGAAGCAGAGAGTTAGGGTCTTTCTAAGCTGGACAGGGTCTACGGTTGCTCTTTCACTCGGGCATTCTCACAGATTCCTAAACACAGGTACGGTTGTTATTTCTCTAACGCGGTGTTTCTCAATCCTGGTCCTCAGGAATCACTGACCTGCTTTAGATGCGTTTCTAGTCCAGAACACCTGATTCAAATGATTGTATGACCGCCTCTGCATGTCACCAAGTGCTGCAGAAGTCTGTTAATCACTCACTTATTCAAGTAAGGCCTGTGTCACCTAAAACAAGCAGGGCAGTGGTTCCCGAGGACTGGAATTGAGAAACACTGCCGTAAGATATCGTACACAAAGAGACGGTGATCATCAGCATACACAGAAAACACGGGAACTCCAAACACTAGAGTTGACTACTGCACGGCCACCACAGAACCCTCTCTGAATCTTTTTCTTTTTGGACAAAGACCTCGCTCATTACATCTTATATGGTCACACTGCAGAACCAGTGTGCATCCACAACAGATTTACCTGAGGCCTCCCTCCACCACACTTCACAGTAACAAGCACATGAAAGCTCAGAGTGGAGGGGGAAACTACTACGCCAGCGGACAGAGGACGGTACGAGCACAGGCGCGCGGGAGACGACGTGAAGGAGAGACGTGGACTCACATCTAAAGCACAGAGTCAAACCAAAGCTGATAGAGAGAGCAGAGATTTCAAGAGAAAGAGCAGAGGGGGGGAAAAAAGGAAAAATCTGTAAACTGGTAAGTGAGGTGGCGTACTACTCAACTGGACTGGACCGGAATAAAAAAAAAATAAAAAAAAAAACGAACACCACGCTGGAAATGTAGAATGAGAAAGAGAAATTTGGGCAGACGGTATGTTTCACCAGGGACTTTCAAGGCTACTTGCACTCCTCTACACCACTCACTCACTCACAACACTCTAATATTTTACTTCTTTCACCACTGCTGCTTTATTGTGATAGATTTTAATCTTGGGTTTTGGTGATTCTTGTTTACCACTGCTCTGTGGTTCAGTAATTGAACCTGCTTCCATTTTTCTATATTCTGTAAAGCCTAGCTACAGGTAGGAAGAGTAATCTGTTCCCACGGCAAACAGGGTTCACCTACTTTGGTGATACTGCACTGCAGTTAGAGATGTTGTTCAATGTCGAAGTTTTACATTTATTTTTGCAAATGATATTACAACGTGCGTATCGAGAGGTCTCAATAGGCTTATAATACAACACAAAATAAATTTTCAAGCTAGCAAATTTATATGTATGCACCAGGAACAGATGTGACTTTGCGCCAATAATGCGGACAATAATGCTTCTGTGATGTTCACTGACAGGATCTGAAGGTGTGGTAGTGGAGATGAGTGTGTCTGTTATGGGAACCTCCTGGATTTCATCTTTGCTGGTCTTAGTTTGTAGCTGAGTCCAAAGTGGCTGAGCTGAGAGTCGGCTCAAACTCAACTTTAGATGAATTGAATGATGCTGTTAGCTCTGGTATAGACAGCTATATACACATGCCTAAGGAGGCTAGTGCCAACAAATAAGCGCTTTGTTGCTGTATACAAACTGCTGTGATGCAAAAAAAATAAAAAGTGTTCCGTTGCAGTTTTGTGAAAAACACTCAACCCAGAGCTAAAACTTTTTATTGAAAATGTGAGATTTTCCAAATCGATCATGTTTCCACTAATTCCATTTATTTTTGTAATTCCTTTTGGGCTCCACACATCTCCTGATACAGAACATATTTGTGCTACATGAGCACTTGGTTCATCAGGTCCAAATGCCATGAAAGCACATGTGCGATTTGATAACATATTTAAATCACAGCACCACCCAGTGGCCAGGCATGGCAATAACAAGTGATTCAAAGTCTTGGTGCCGTCCAAACCTAGAGCTTTTCTCCAATCAAGATCTGAAAATACCAGCAGTTTCCAATCAAAGCATAAGTCTCTTTAACTTGATAACTCTTATTTTTTTCCATTTCATTTTAAGTTTCCACTTTCATCCATACCAGTATACAGCTAAACATTAGTAATCCATCATTTGAAAGTTTTATCAAACAAGAACAAGAGACCTTTCATGTCTTAAAACACTTAGTAACTAAAAAACAAGCACATTAAAATGACGATTTCCAGTTTCTATGGTTTCTAAGTGGCAGCCATGTTGGGTATCTATACAGATCTGTCATTGCCTTTGGCACTGGGAAGTAAATTTGGCAAATTAGCTATTTGGCTACAGGTGCAAAGAAGCTCTTTGGCGTAATCTAATTCCAGCAACAATTTGTTTGGGTGTGTGCAGTAGGAGTACAAGTTGCTGTGGAAGTGGCCCTGGGAAGGAGACAGTACAAGCTACTGCAGGACGGAGCACGGGGAAGAGCGATGGAAGAGGTGGAAAGAGAAGAACTGTCAGTACATTGCATTCCACAGCGCTTAGAAAGAGGGGGCTAAAATCGCCAGGGGCCGAGTCGTCGGGCAGAGCTAGGGACCAGGATTTCTCTGAGGCCAGAGACAGAGCTTCCATCTCCGCTAGAGGGATCTAGGCAGGAAGAGACAACCGCTGGTGAGCAGAGAGAACAATGCAAACTCCCAACAACACACAGATATAGAAACACACACACATAAAACCTGGAGCTAACAGGAAAACAGACCCTTTAGAAAGCCTATCTGACTGGAAGGAGTGCAAGTCTTTATTGTGATGAGCTCTGGAAGGGGTCAGGAAGGAAAATTACATTCATTTTTGCAATATCTGACAAAGGTTTTGTGATACGTAGCAAAGGATTTTTCAAAACATCCACCAACCACAGAATCTCCACGAACTGTTTAAGATTAATATCTCAGGCTGCGTTCACACTGCAGCCCAAAGTGACCCAATTCTGATTTTTTATGCCTTAATGTGACCTGCATCTGATCTTTTCATGACAGCCTGAGCAGCACAGGTCAGAGTTCTTTCAAATGCGACCCAGGTCACTGGGATATCCGATGCGTGTCCGATCTTTTCCAATGTGACCTGAATCATAACGGTCAGGTCCTGAACGTCACCGATACTCGACAAACGTCACTGTTCCGCGTCCTGATACACGCAAGCAGGAAGAAAAACAACAACCATGGTGGACAATAATGGGGATCATGTTGTTAATGTGCTGCTCCGGCCGGACAACAACTTTAAAAGCGTAAGCTAAGCTCCACCATTCGCATCCATGTTTACTTCCCCAAACACTGAGCACTTCTTCATTTTATGGTGGATGGCAAAACACTGAGCACGCTCTCTATGTGTGATGTTATTGCGCCCCCTACTGCGCCTGTGGGTCACTTTCCGGTTGTTTGCTGTTCACACTGGAGAAGTGTTAACGGCCACAGCAAAAAAATCCGATTTGACAAAAAATCAGAATTGGTACAAGCTGAGAAAAATCTACATCTACTTAAATTGTTACATATTTTCTAATTATTTGGACATTAAAGTTTCTCTGCTCAAAAGATGAATGATAGCTGGAACAACCATTACGGCAAGGAAGTACACTAACTTTTTGTTGGACTTAATTTTTTTTTTTTTTTTGGTCAATGCAGATGGACATTGTGGAGATATTGTGGGATAATTCTAAAAAAATATGTATATGTGGGACCTTGCAAAGGTAAACTCAAATCTTGCAAAACCTCTATGACACGTGTCAAACACAAGGCCCGGGGGCCAAATGCGGCCCGCCACAGCTTTTTATGTGGCCCTCGAGATTCTAGATTTATGCATGAATAAAAACAGTTGTGTGCTTAAACATTATTTTTTAACTAAATCAAAATGGCTTTTATTTGTGACTGCCAAATTGCATTAACCAATTCTTTCAGTTTTACTACAATCGCGGAAATTCACTCAAAAGCAACAAATTGCGTACATGTTTTTGTGCGAATGCATAATTGTGAAGGTTTTCCAGAAAAATTGTCAAAAACATGTTTGAAGTGACGCCAACTCCCACCTGCAAGTGACAGTATATTTTACTTCTACGCTTCTGCTTTACTTGATGTCAAGTTCTAGTCTGTGATCGACTATTTGCAACTAATGAAGTCACATTTACCATAATACATAAGTGCAAATATTGCAAAATTTCGTACAAATAATTTTAAATTAGCAATTTATTGCAAAAAAAATTACAAAAAAAAAATTCCTAGAGGGATTGATGAATGTGAAAAACTGTCAAATATGATTTGATTTTGAACATTCGTGATGTTGATGTGGCCCAAAATGAAAATGAGTTTGACGCTCCTGCTCTATGGGATCTTGCCAAAACAAATGTATTTTCCAAACCTTTTCCTGGTTATTGCATAAAGATAACTCAGTATCTCAACACATTTTTTGCGTGCTCTCGCAAAACTTTTCGACAATCTCACAAAGTTGCCGGACCTTGCAGAAGTGACTGCGGATCTTGCAAAACTTTGCAAGGACTCTGAAAAGTCACTTAGGATCTTTGACAAAAATATCTCAGCTACAAAGCAAGCTCCACTTTTTTTCCATCTTCCAAGGTCACTTGCAAAGCTCAATATAGGGTTGCAAACAAAAAGATTTTTTTTTTCTTTCTCAGCTTTTAAAATTTGCATCATCATTAGCTTGTATTCTGGGATCAACTAATGTCAAATAAGTCTAAAAAGGGGGCCAGCTGCTTTAAATTAATGCAAAATAGACAATCCCAAATGCCATACAACAGTACAATGATGTAATGTGCACATTTAAATGCAGACATACCCAAAAAAGAATGCAAAATTATTATTATTTTTTTTTAACTCTGCAGAGGTTGGCTTGAGTCTGGAAGAGTCTAAACACTTCCTGCTTCTGTTAAATACATTTTAATAAAGAAAACCAATCAAGGGGCAAACAACCAGGGCCAGAAATTGAAAAACAAAACAAACAGACAAAAAATCGATTTAGATCAGGAATTTAACAGAGAAGGCCTGGGCTCTGGCATCTTGATACCAACATGAAAACCCATTTCAGAAGATGGATCTCAGCAGTGCTGACGTAACAGTCCAATTTTTGTCCTTGAATGAGAAAAAAACAAAACAAATAAAAAATAAAAAAAAATCAGGCATGCTGATGCATTATTCAGTTTCATGCTGCATATCGATTGAGCCGTTTCTCTGCAGACTTGGAAGAGTTTGCTCTGCGCTGGCCTCAGGAGCGCCTTGGGTGGAAGTTATCGCTTTGCTGTGACTGACGGGAAAAAGCAGGTCATCAGCTATAAAAAAAATAACAGAAGTGTCACAGCGACAAACACACAGAGTGACAGTGATGGTGAGCGTTGGAGACAGAGGAAGCCCTAAAACGGTTTCTCAGTCTGCCAAACCGGACTGCGAATAACAAACCTGCCGAGCATAAATGAGTTTAACCAAATGAGGGAATGAGATCATAGCTGAGACGGGCGGCGGTGGGCGCCGTGGCCGGCAACGCGGTTGGTTGGGAAGAGGAAAAATATTCGATGTGGAGGAACGCCAGGACAAAAAAATGGTAATGGGTGAAAGACTGCAAGATTAACATCACACTGGATGATTCCCTTTTCTGGAAAATGGAACTGGGTTCTACAGAGAGGAGCTACATGCACAACTACCATCCTGTAAACAGTTTGCAGAACGGACTATGTACTTAAAAACTGATATTTCTTTGAATTTTAGTCTGGATGTTGACATAAAGTCACATTCAACAAACCAGAATCAACGTCCGGATGAATCTCATTTGTCTCGTTTGGTTTACATTGTGGCCATTAATTTATATTAATGTATATTTGGAGTTTGAACTATTAAAATAGGCGGTTATAAGCTTTTTAGAGCGAATCTAAAGTAGTTGCAAATTTACGATTTTCGTGAAAACTGGGGATCCAATGTATTGTAAAAAAGTAAAAACAGACAGTGCCCACATGAGACAATCACCACCTCCTAGCATTAGCATCTCTAATATGACAAGAAACGGTAAGAAAGGGCTAAATGAAGGTTTATACTATTATATAACTAGAGAACAAAAGACTAGTTATTACATTGCTACTGAGGCAATAACAGAAGAAAAAGGTTATTGTGTAAAGTACACTGCCTCCTACTGGCGATTAGGTGGAACTCAGAAGTAACTCAATGATTCTAACAGCTACATCGACCTTTTGTCTGAACCTTTTTATGTACAGATCATTAAAAAAACAAACAAAAAAAACTACTGAGCCTTTAAGAGCAATCAGGTGGTTGTTTTCTTCATCTTTTCACTTAGAAATTTCTCCCCCCCAAAATAAACCCTCTTTCATTCCCCGTTTGCTGTGCTGCGCCCTACAAGCGTATCAAGAGCCAATGAATGTATGAAATGGAGGAAGCGAGCCATCAGCGGCGTTTCTGGTGGTTATTGACCTTCTTGTCGGTGCTGTGCTTGTTGGGCCTGGGGGGCAGCGCGTAGTAGTGGCAGATGGAGCCGGACAGGTTGTCCATCAAACTCAACTCTCCCTCCATTGAGCCCTGGATGACCAGGGAGATGGAGTCAAACAGAGGTCTCCGCTGCACAAACTTGGATATCGCAGGGACAGTAAGAGAGAGCAGAGGAAGAGAAGAAAGAAAGAAAAACGACAGGAAATGAGTGAAAGAGAAGACAGATATAAATATATGTGCATAAACACAGAAACACGACTAAATGAAGGGAGGAAATAAAAAAAGACGGATCGATCAAATATACAAAAACAAAGGAATGATGTAGACAATCAAAATCACTGCTTCTAAGCTCACATGTGCTTCCCTGTAAGCCCACAAGGGGGCACTACAGCACCGTACCAGAGCTGGTCTTCCAGGGTGGGGATGGAGAGGAGACTCTGGTGTAACAACTCAGAGCAGCAGAGACAGATGGATAACATCTTAAAAGGGGAAAGATAACAATAGCAAAACCTCGATTTCCTATCCTCCAAAAAGTTCCCCCTGCTGCCTGGAAATAGCTGTTGAAGTGAACAACAAGACCCGCAGCTGAGCTTTCCCATGGCACTGTGACCTGCCTCTGACTGGCATGCTGCCTTCAGGGACCAACCATAACACACACACAC